TACGTTCATCTTTTTCAACCCCAACTCCATTTTCATAACAATATCCAACATTATATGTCCCATAAACGTTACCCATCTCTGCAGATTTTTGATAATAAATAAATGCTTTATGTTTATCCTTATCAACTCCAATTCCATGAAGATAGCAATTTCCAACATTACATCTTCCACCAGCATTCCCCATCTCTGCAGATTTTTTGATAATAAATAAATACTTTTTGTTCATCTTTTTCAACTCCAGTCCCATTTCGATAACAATCTCCAACATTAATAATTGCTGTAGAATTTCCCATCTCTGCAGATTTTTGATAATAGATAAATGCCTTATGTTCATCATTTTCAACATCAATTCCATGCATGTTAGCAGAATTTTGATAATTGGCAAATTTCTTATGTAAAATTTTTTAGTTTCAATTCTATTTTGATGGTATTTTTCAAGATTAAACATTCTATTGGCTAATTTTTGACTTATTTGCAGGGTATCAACCAACTGATAAGTACATTTAGTAGACTTTTCATAAATCAAATTTACAATATTAGAAAAGTGAGAGAATTTAATATTATTTAGGATAGGAGCAAATGAAAAAAGACTAAAGGCATATTTTAATATGCAACAATAGATCATATGGGGTGACTGGGGAAAACATAAAATTAAATTTAGTAAAGCAAGTATTAATGTAAACAAATAATTCAACAAATATTCCAACCTTATTAGTTTTTTCTTCTAAAATATTTATTATTGCCTGTATGTTTTCCTCGTTTTTCCATTGATCGAATTGATCAAGCTGATCAAGTTCTTGGAATTTAATTATAATTGTTTTTAAATTTTCATTATCTATTGTTTAAAAAATTTTTATCAATAAATATAGCAGCATAAATATATGCTGACAGATTAAATAATTAAATAGTCAATACGCATACCTTCTTCAATATTGTGAATAGACATATCTAAGGGACCATAAAATGGCTTGAATAAAAGTGTTTGATTTATTTCTTGTTTACTCACTAAATTATCAAAATCCTCGATTCTGATCTCTTTAAGGATTTTTAATAGGCCAAATAAAGTACTTTCTTAATTAGATCTAATTTTGAAATGTCAGCCTAATATTTAGATATTCAAAATATTTATTTTTTAAGTAATTTATTATTATATAGTATAATGCTTGATGAATTAACTAACCATTCTAATAATCCATCGAATAAAATTCATTCCTTGCTTTTGCAAATTTATATCAGTTTTAGGACCTTAATAAAAAAAATATAAATATGAATAAAGATAAATTGATGTATTTTAATAATAAATCTAGGTTCTATAAATTAATTTTAGCTTACTATATAGACAATCGAATGAAACATGTAATATAGATGGAAAGATATTTGCTGCCAGTTTGGATTTGCACAGACAGCACATAATTTTAGATTTAAGTGATTGCGATTGAAATAATAACTCTTTTTGACCTATTTTATAAAGTTTATAAAGATTAATATATAAACTAATTATAGATATTGACGTATAGCTACTGTGATATGATTACATACGTACATGATAACGATCTGCAAATTTCATATAGCAATATAAACTATCCACAACCTATAAAATCTTTTGTTAAAAATTCTATTTTTTTACAAACAATAAATAAGAAAAATATTTAGATATATAGTAAACCTCTTTTGTTTCTAAATCTGCAAATTTGGGACTAAATTTTTGTGAGAGCTAAAAAAAATACAATATTACAATGTATAATATAAATTAATCATACAAAATTATAAAATAAGAAAATTTGCCTCAAGAAGTATTTGGAACAGAAATGTCTTCTGATTAGGGGGTTTCAATTCAATATTTTAATTATTGGCAGTAAATACGTAATTTTATCCTACGGACAGAAAATTCAAGAAAAAAATTAAAATTAAGTTATTCTAATAACAAACCATTTTAAAATTCAATCCTAGGAATTCAATATAATATTCAGAATGTTGATTTTAATAATATTGATCTTATTTCTTGTAAAAACTTTGTAAGAATAGAATTTTGAAATTTTATACTTAAAAAAGATTAAGATTATGGTATACCTTTTCAGTTAGCTGATCGTAAGCCTTTCGAAGATACATAATAGTAAAATTCTTAACCAAAGTAGAATCCATAAAATTTTCTGAGCAAACAATTTCAGTAAGTGAATTCCATGGAAGTTTAACAGTTTTTGTCATTCTTTTGTTAATGTGGTTAAATATATTTATAGCCTGATTTATTTAGAAATAATAATTTGTAACTTTATAAATAATAAATACCATATCAATATTATATCAACATTTGTGTTTCTACCTTTTTTCTCACATTTTCATGAGGACTTGCGAGTTTTTTTAGGACAGGACTTAAAAAAATTTTTAACTTTTCTTCAAATTGAACATTATTTTTGGCAAAACCAAATTGAAATTCAATATTCTCTAGCAATCCTAAATTTTAAGATAAATTTTGATTAATATCTTATAAAATTACAAAGGTGAATTATACGTAGAAATACCTACGTATTTCATTATTATCCATTATGTATATAATTGTTGAAAGTGAATTTAACTTTGAATGAATGAAATATCATATATATATATATATATATATATATATATATATATATATCGATATATATATGTATAAGGCATTTTATTTTGTTATATCAATATATTTAAAATTTTCGTTCAAATTGGACCAAAACTGGATTAAACTAGTTTTGAATGCATATATTGTACGTTTGTGCTTTCATGGGATGTAAAATAAAGTAATTTAGAATCAGCGAAAACTAACACCGGATTTTTCTGGAGTTTGATATGAATTTTGGATGGTGTTTTTCTGTTTTTGTGTTATTCGAGATCATATTGTACGTTTGTGTAAATATTTGCATGCACGTTGTGACGGTGAAAAATGGTATGACAATAAAAATTAGGCTAACAAGGGTCACTACTACACTAAAATCCAACACAAATACTACTAAATTTAATAATATTTTTCCTCTACACAGCATAGCGAACTTTTATTGTGATTGGCTGATTTTTGTAGATCATCTCGTCATACTAAAGTATTATTAAAGTAACG